CGGATAGTCAGTCATTGTCTGATGGTGATTGGGATGAACTGACGGAGGATGATCAAGTGGCAACATGCCGAAATCTTCAAGTCGTTCAGATGTGATGATTGTGCTCGATGATGAGATTGTCGTATTCTGAAAAGAGGTTTTGGTTGTCCCGTTCTGGAAATCGACGTATCACGACAATTGAAGGTTCGTTATGGCTCGATAGGTAGAGCAAACATTGCAAAACGAGAGATCGACGAGTGTTTACGGCCAGACGTACCCCGGCCAGAAAATACGTCTCCTCACGTGATTGTGGACGGCTTCCCATCTTCTGATAGCATCAATCAATATCTGAAAAGCTGTGGAGTGAACGTGGTGTCAAAAGCGAACGAGCTACATTAAAGGCATTGAAATCGTGAGCAAAGGACATCAATATCAGACGGACGGGGCACTAGCTGACAAAGCAAAAGAGAGGGTCTGACTACATGTGGAAGCGGCGCTGAGTCAACATGGGACAAATGGCAAGGTGCTACGAGCGTCACGGAGCTTGGGAACTCGGCAGCGTAAGTTCCGGTTTTTGGACTCAGGATTGAGCTCCCGCGGAGTCCACGGACGGGAACCATGCAAGAAAGTGTGAGACAGACTTCCTCGCTCCGCAAACGGCCTTCCTTGGAAACGACTTTCAACTTTGTTTGGGGCGGAATAATGTTCAGGGGCTACTCTGAATCTTATTGAAAAGACCTGTGCCTTTTGGTGTGCCATATGGGTATGGGTCTGAATTGTAGGTAACAGATTGAAGATGATCAAAAAGTTGATTTACGAAAACCATTTTTTCAATTCGGACGTTCAACTTACGGTTACTCGTTTGAGTCCTTTGAGTCCTGCCCTCAGAAAATCTTCCAGTAACTTGGAGATACCATGCTATCAGAATTTGCTTAAAAGTTACTTCCGAGAAGACAAGAAAGTTTGAATGCAGCCATATTACTTGGGAAACCTTGAAAAAGTGATTACAGTGTTGGCAAATGTTTGTCTTGAGGTG